CCCAGGCTGGAGTGCAGTGGCATGATCTTGGCTCACTGCAACCTCCGCCTCCTGGGTTCAAGTGATTCTCATGCCTCAGCCTCCTGAGTAGCTGGGATTACAGGCGCCCGCCACCATGCCTGGCTAATTTTTGTATTTTTAGTAGAGACGGGGTTTCACCATGTTGGCCAGGCTGGTCTCAAACTCCTGACCTGAAGTGATCCGCCCACCTCGGCCTTCCAAAGTGCTGGGATTACAGGCGTAAGCCACCATGCTCAGCCTAATTTAATTTAGGTTTTTGACACAGTTTTGCTTTGTCACCCAGGTTGGAGTACATATGCAGTCATAGCTCACTGCAGCCTTGAATTCCTAGGCTCAAGTGATCCTCCCTCCTGAATCTCCCAAGTAGCTAAGACAACAGGAACTAATTATTTATTTTTTGTAGAGATGAGGTCTCACTATGCTGTCCAGGCTGCTCCCAAACTCCTGGTCTCTAGTGAACTGCCCACCTCAGCCTCCCAAAGTGCTGGGATTACAGGTGTGTGCCACCGTGCCTAGCCTCCATTATTTTTTAATGACAAATCATGCTGCAATCAATCAGCCTGTGCATATGTAGTTTCCCATCATGGGAGGCATATCCTCAGGTTAAATTCCTGGAAGCAGGATTGCTGGGTTAAAGGATAGATCCGTGTGTGATTTTGTTAGATGCGCCGAAATCCCCTTTCCCATGTCGGCACCGTTTTGCATTCCCACCAGCAATGTAAAAGAACGTCCATTCTCTCAGCCTCCCCAAAAGAGTGTGTTGTGAAGCTTTTAAACTTTGACTCCCTGGTTGATGAGAAGTGGTATCTCATCATATTTTTTTCACCTGTGTTTCTCAAATTTTGAGTGAGGGATAGATACTTTTTTAAACAGGGAGATCATAAAAGGTCCCTCCCTCCCTGCCTCCTTCCTTCCCTCCTTCCTTCCCTTTTTTAAACAGAGAGATCATAAAACCTCCTTCCTTCCTTCCTTCCTTCCCTCTTTCCTTCCTTCCTTCCTTCCTTCTACTTTTTAAAATAGAGAGATCACAAAACCAAACTCCCTCCCTCCGTCCCTCCCTCCCAGAGTTTTGCTCTTGTTGTCCAGGCTGGAGTGCAGTGGCATGATCGTGACTCACTGCAACCTCTGCCTGTCAGGTTCAAGCGATCCTCCTGCCTTAGCCTCCTAAGTAGCTGGGATTACAGGTGTGTGACATTGTACCTGGCTAATTTTTGCATTTTTAATAGAGACAGGGTTTCACCACGGTGGCCAGACTGGTCTCGAACCCATTGGCTTCAAGCTATCCTTTCACCTGGGCCTCCCCAAGTGCTAGGATTATAGGCATGAGCCACTGCGCCCGGCCCATAGAAAGTCTTTCTAAAGAGGCAACAAGTGAGGAGAGAGCTAAGTGACAGACATGGGGAAATCTGGGGGAAGGGCATTCCAGGTAGAAGGAATGGCAAGACCAAAGGCCCTGCGGCAGAAGTGAGCTTGACGAGTTGAAGGAAGAGCAAGAAATTTAGGTGTTCTAGGCTGATTGTGGTGGCTCACGCTTGTAATCCTGGCACTTTGGGAGGCCAAGGTGGAAGAATTGCTTGAGCCCGGGAGTTTGAGACCAGCCTGGGCAACATGGGGAGATCCTGTCTCTACTGAAAAATGCAAGTTAGCCAGGCATGGTGGTGTATGCCTGTTGTCTCAGCTACTCATGAGGCTGAGGTGTGAGGATCGCTTGAACTGGGGAAGTGGAGGCTGCAGTGAGCTATGATTGCACCAGTGCACTCTTGCCTGGACAACAGAACAAGACCTGCCTCAAATAATAATAATAATAATAATAAGGTTAAGAAAATTAGGTGGTCTAAGCAGAAGAAACAAGGAGAAACTGATCAGAGATGGTGTAGGCAGGGACCGGATCACGTATGCATTATTACAGTCTAAGGGGTTAGCAAAGTCTTCTGCAAAGAGCCAAATAATAAATATCTTCAGCTTTCCTGGCTGCCTGGTCTCTCTTGCAACTGCTCAGCTTTGTGTTTGTAGCACAAAAGCAGTCATAGGCAATATGTGAGCAAATGGGTGTGGCTGTGTTCCAGTATCATTTATAGAAACCAAAATTTGAAATTCATGTACTTTAAAAAGTACATGTACTTACATCTGTAAGACCAGGCACAGTGGCTCATGCCTGTAATCCCAGCACTCTGGGAGACAAGGTGGGCAGATCACCTGAGGTCAGGAGTTCAAGACCAGCCTGGGCAACATGGCAAAATCCTGTCTCTGGAAAAAATACAGAAAATTAGCTGGGTGTGGTGGTGTGCACCTGCAGTCCCAGCTACTCCAGAGGCTGAGGTGGGAGGATCACTTGAGCCTGGGAGATGAGACCAGCAGTGAGCCATGATTGCCCCAGTGCTCTCCAGCCTGGGCGACAAAGCAAGACCCTGTCTCAAAAACAAAACAAGACAAAAAAGTTGTGAGGATTACATACCTGTAATCCTAGCACTTTGGGAGGCCAAGGTGGGCGGATCACTTGAGGTCAGGAGTTTGAGACCAGCCTGGTCAACATGGTGAAGCCCTGTCTCTACTAAAAATACAAAAAGTAGCTGGGCGTGCTGGCAGGTGCCTGTAATTGCAGCCACTCAGGAGGCTGAGACAGGAGAATCACTCGAACCTGGGAGGCAGAGGTTGCAGTGAGCCGAGATTGCACCACTGCACTCCAGCCTGGGTAACGGAGCAAGACTCTATCTCAAAAA